AAGGGGGGGGGGGGGGGGGAGAAGAGGAAGAGGAAAAGAATAAGGACAAAAAAACTAGAAGGAAAGAACTAGAATTAAAATCAGAGTCAGTAGAAGAGGAAGAGATATAAGAAGACAAGAAATAAGGTGGACAGGGTGGAGAAGCCAAGAAATACATCAAATGGCAAGGTTTTTGCCAGTCAAGCTGAATATGTAGGAAGCCTAGTGAAACTGATTCTATTAAAACGGAGGAGCAAAACGTTGCCTTGGCCTTATTTTTCTTAGATAGAGTAGAGGAGGAGAATGTTGGAGAACAAACAGAGCAATCAGGGAGGGAAGAAGAAAAGAACAAAACTACTGGCTGTCTGAGTGAGTCAGAGAACTGGGAAAGGGGTTCCCCTCCCTGGAATGGGAGTTGAGGGAACAATGTCTTTACCTCATTCTGACCTAACTGGCTGAGAGCTAGTTGGGGATGGAGGGGGACAAGTGGGAAGTGGAATGTTTTGGGTGTTTTAGGTGGGAAATTATGGTAAATTTGGTATAGCTGTCACATAAAGATCTCTGATATTGTGACTTGTTTGCACTTGGTGGAAAAATTGCTGTTCAACACAGTTGGAGTGACCAGGAGTAACTGGGAGTGCATAGGAGGTGGAGTGACTTGGAGGTGACTGGGAAGTGCAACCAAGGAAAAATGGAGAGGAGGATAATGGTAGTAATGGGCAGGTAGAAGTATAATGGGAGATGATGGAGGGCCATTCCAAAAAAAGAGAGATTAGAAACTTGGTGCCAGTCTTTACTTCTGATCCTCTAACCTCAATTCAAGACCCACCCAACCAGATTTCTGGGTTTACTGAACTCAGGTCTACACTTCTGAATTCCAGGTCTACCTGCAATAAAATTAGCCTTATCCATTATTTAATGTTTAGTCATGGATGAGAGGCCCAATGTGACATGTGTCAATGAGACCTGGCTGGACAAAGAGCAGGGAATCCCCTGTGCTGAAATCTGTCCAGTCAGTTTCCATATCTTGCATCACTTTTGACCCTGGAGCAGGGGAAATGATATGGTCATTGGGTAGGGAGACTTTGTCTGTTGTGAGGATCTACGACAGGTGGCCAGATGTGAGGCCATATTTGTGAAATTCAACCAGAAGGACAAGCTTGGGTGCTGCTGTTGTATCTTTCTCCCAGCTTGGTGGCAGCATCCCATCCTGAGTTCCTCAGTCTCATTGTTGGAATGGTTATGGATTCTCCCAGACTCTGCAATTTTATCTTCTCCTATCTGGGGCCAGAGACACCTTGGGAGCTGATGGCTACCATGACAGCTGTGGGCTTGTCCCAGGTTGTTGCCGAGACAAACCACAAAGCTGGCCATGCATTAGATCTGACCTTTACCTTGGAGCAGATAAATGTGATCTGGTCCTGGGGAACATTTCTATCAGTCCCTTGTCATGGAGCTACTAACCTCTTCAGGGAGAAAAGCCCAATTAAGATGGCCCACGCAAATGCATGATAGGTCCACAAGGTTTTCAGATAGTGCTTTGGGCTTACCTAGCAGTCTGGAAGGCAGTTCTACTGAATATCTTGTAAGTTTCTGGAACTCAGCAATGACCAGTGTACTAAATAGCATTGCTCCTGAATGGTCTCTCCCTTCATATTGATCCTAACCAGCTCCTTGATTTTCTGAGATGCTCCAGGAAATCAGGTGGGTAAAAAGGTACTTGAAGTGACACCAGCTAAAAACATTAAGTGAATATGACAGATGGCTCAAGTTCAAGTTTATTATCTGGTGATAAAGCTGGTAAAGAGGAATAATTTATCTATCTTTATTGCATTTGTGGAATCTCAAAAGTGTCCTGAACCTTTTAGAGAACGAAGAACAATTTTGTGTAAATTGCAGTCACTTGTTCAAGCATGGATAAAATCACTCATATTTGCTTCAGGTTGGAAACTGGATGGTTGGAATTCATTGAGATGATAGAGATCATGTCTTGTGATGTTACACGGGAGATTTTTGAGCCTGTGGATCTTGAGGAAGCAGTCAGGTTTCTCTGTGACCTCAACTCTGCCACTTGTGCATTGGACCCCTGTACCCATCAAGCTGGTGAAAATGCCAAGGGAGGGAATTAGGTGTTGGATCCAACCTATACTCAATGCCTTTGGGAGAAAGAGAGACTCTACTATGTCTGAAAAAGGCTCTGATCTGCCCACTCAAGTAGCCCAGTCTGGATCTGGTAGGTATGAACAACTCCCATCTATCTCCAGATTCCCCATCTTGGGGAGAGTTGTAGAGACAATGAAGGAACTACAGTTCTGGAGGACACAGATTATCTCAACCTGTGGCAATCCAGATTGAGGCCTGGGCATGGATAAGAATCATATTGGTCACTCTCAAGGATAAAATGTGGCAGAATTTAAAGGAGTGTAACCATCTATGTCTATTTGGTTCTCTTGGGAGCCTTCCATACTGTCAATCACTACCTTTCTGGACCTGGAGTGAAGGCTAGGAATTTAAGGGACCATTTTATTGTGGTTCTACTTCTGTCTAAGTGACTATGTCCAAACAATTATGGTGGGGGGAAGAGGAGTCAGGCCCTTAGATCCCATGTTGTGGGATGCTGCAGGGCTTTGCACTCTCCCTTATCCTGTTTAACATATATATGAAACTGCTGGAAGAAGTAATCCATTGGTTTGATGGGAATATGATAGCGTTCTTCTAGTATTTGGAAGTTTGTTGTACAAATGTACATGATGACTTCTTTTGTCATCCCAGAATGTAAGACATCTACTGTATGTTGCAAAGGAAGATTCTAGTTGAATATTATATAAAACTTTCTAAAGTAACAACACTTCAAAAATGGAGACCAGGGAGTCTCAAATTATGAGTTGTGACCCCCAGAGGGTTGCAAGTAAATTTGAGGAGGGAGGTGCACATTATCCAAGTAAAGGAAAGAGGAAAATTCAGAGCATGATCTGACAGAGCTTTTGAGAATGATTCCTTGGGCTGAAGGCATTTGACAACTGATTGGCGGCTTTGGCCAGCCTCACAAGGCTTTCCCTTCCAGAGTGAGGTTTGGGATAATGGCAGAATGAGATTGGATGGAGGCCTTGGACAAGTGGTTGAGACAGTGTTGTAGATCGAGACAATTGGGCAACTTCTGTGGGTGCTGCTTAGAATCATAGTGTTGGAGGGAACCTTGGTGATCATCTAATCCAGCCCAGGGCTGCAATCCTGGACATCCCAGACATCCCAGACAAATGGGTCTCCAACCTTTGGTTGAAAATCTCCCATTTTCATTTTAATACCTGTCATGGTCTGAAAGGTCTGAATGAAAACTCTTTTGGCCACAAGGTAGGGCTACCATATCTGAGTTGCAAAAATCCAGATGTAGCAGAAACCTAGTGGTCACCCAGATATTTGCAGCCAGATCTGATAACCCTGCAGCAATTGGGCTTGATAACCTTTACACCAGCCCAGCCTCCCTTTGTTCAGGAGAACCAGGCAATCCTTTATTATAGAGGAGGTTCTCCAAGGAGCTAAAGAGCTTTAGTCCTACTAAGTCTAATTACTGCCCCAAGCATTCCTTTAGAAATTTTGACTTGGATAGGAATGGAAAGGTGTTTTGTTTTGTTTTTTGTCTCATTTGCTTTTCTAGGATAGAAAAAAAATGGTTGTTAACAGTGACTTCCCTACCCTATAGATGTCCCTACCTGTAGCTCTCTTTTTTAACAGCATAAATAATTTTATCAAACTAATGGTTGGTAAAACAGTCATGAGTTGCAATACTGATACAAAGCATCCACCTAGGTTTGCATTATCAGGATTCTCAGCATAAGCAACTGAGCAGGAAGGAGAAAAGACAAACCTGGCTTGGGAATTGACCACTTCCCTGCTTCTCCAGGCTGGCTGCTGTTTATTGCTTTGACTAATTTATAAAGAGTGTCTTTAGCATGCCTGAGCTTTGCTGATCTCAAAGGCCAAGGTCCTGCTCCAAGAAGGTTGCAACTGAAAATGTGGCAAAGGCATGGCATCACAAGGAGGAGGTTGGCACTAAATAAGAGAAAGCAATATATAAGATGGTTTATGAACAATGCTGAGATGACAACCTCAAAAGAGTCTGTGTTTTCTCTCTTGTTCTTTCATCACAATAATTTTTTTAGTAATGGGGGAGGGTTGCACAAATTGATTTATGGTTTTAGGAGTCACACTACCATAATGAACCCATGGTATTCACTGAAACATGTATGAAGCCCAAGAGTTGCAGCTCTTTTTTTGTAGAACATTCCAAACACATTTTTCTTATATTTTCAGTTACATTTCTTTCAAGTGCTAATACAATGGTTTCAGTGCAAAACCACTCTATCTTTCATGATCTGAAAGTGGATGAAATGGAGCTGCTGTATTCGGCATATGGAGATGAGACTGGGATTCAGTGTGCCTTAAGGTAAGCTTGTTGAACTGCAATATTGAACCCACTGATGCTATGGCAGTTACTGTATACTGTTACAACAATACACATGGCTTTGGCATTGGAAGGAGCCCAGTTCAGTTTAGTAGCTAGTATAAATAACAAAGGGAACAGCTTTAAAAACAAAAGCCAAGAAAGTCAGACAAAAGGAAGAAAGTTTTAAAATAAAAATGCATCTGATAGAATTTGTTTTACACTGGAATTTCTTTTAGCCTTCAAGAATTTGTGAAAGATTCTGGAAGCTATAGTAAAAAAATAGTAGATGACTTGCTGGATCAGATCACTGGTGGAGATCATTCTAAGTCTATTTATCAACTAAAACAGGTAAGTGTTTTCTATAGACATGTAGTTAGTTGAGGTTCAGTACTTTATACCTCAAATTATTCTTAAAACCAGCTTTGTTATTTGTTGTTGAAACAAATGGTTCACATGATCTAAACAAACTACAGCTAAATTGCAACTAAAACCTCTAAAGTCCTTTTTTAAGATAAAAAATATTTGTTTGACATAGTCTCAGAAAGTATCCTTTTCACAACAAAGGTACTTTAAAGGGTATAGGAGTACTCAATCACTGTGTTTAAAATATGTGCAGGAGAGACACTTTTAGGGGTACCATGCCTGTCACTGAAGATATCTAAGTCAGTAAATTAATTTATATCAATCAATATGCCTACAAAACTAGTTCTTTTGGAGAAAAGAACATATTTTCTAGACCACGCTATTCAGAACTGTCTCACTGACAGGTATAACTTGATCATATCTTGTTTAAGTAGAAATATTTTGCGTTGAAGAGTGGGATAAAATTGTTCATACATTTAAATAAAAGAAAAATTAAAAAGAGAAAATTAATTACTTAGTACCATTCTGATTCCTTTAAAATGTGAAGCAGGGAATCAACAGTAGATTCAGTATATAAGAATGTTCCATGCCTTGTTTTATTCTTCTCCATTTTAACTGGTGTTAGAATTACAGGTGCAATACAAAGTCTCAAATGATTGTTTTAATCAGATGCTTCAAAAAGATGGAAGCTCTTTAATTGATGAAATATTACAGCCCTATCAGCACAGCACAGCCCCAAAATGTTATAAAACTCTGTCCTCTTCAAGGAGCTGAAAAGAAAGAAAGAATAAAAATAAAATTTAAATATACCAGTAGATTACAGACATGTTGAAGGTCTACCCGTTTTAGAAATATATGTCTCCTTGCTGCCTTAGACGTTCATGAGAATATATATTCTCCTGTACCACAGATGGAAGGAGGAAATTGAGAATAGCCACTGCCATTTGCAGTACTGGAGATCAGTGCTGCAAATCAGAATAAATTCTTGAATAAAGGGAGAGACAATACAGTTGACTCTGCTTGTCATGTATTTTCCTAAATAATCAAATTTCCAGTTGTTGGGAAAGAACTTTGCATATATCTAAGGGCACAGGTCTACAATGGATTTACACCTACATTTAGATATAATGCCATAAGGATCTGAATTGAGGAAAGTATAAAATATAAAATAAAAATACAATATACAGACAAGTAGTTCTCGCCTAAGAGCCACAATTGGGACTGGAATTTTGGTCATTGAGCAAAGTGGTCATTAAGCAAGACATCCACATGACTGTTCTGCTCAGCACCTGCAATCTGGGCACTCCTGGTTGTGATCATTAAGTGATCTCCTGGGTAGTTAAGTAGACAGAGTGAAACAGCTGTCTCTTGGAGGATTTCAGCTCAGCGTGGAGCTGAAATCCTCCTGGCAGGCAGCTCTTTGAGAGTGAAAGGGTGGATGGTTTCCCTTCTGAAGGGTTTGCCCTCCCTTCTGTGGATGGAGGGGAAATTCTTCCTGGGGCTGGAGGAACAGAGAAACCTCCCAGCAATAGGCAGTTATGGAGCTCAAATCCTGAAGATTTGAGGTCTGTTCCTTCTCGCCGCTGAATCTTCAGGATTTGAGCTCCATGCCTGCCCACAACTGAGACGGGAGGGGAAACTGCTGTGAAGGAACAGAGTTCAAATCTTCAGGATTTGAGCTCCATTCCTTCATACTGCTGAGAGGTTTCAGCAGTGTGAAGGAATGGACCTCAGATCCTGGAGATTTGAGCTCTGTTCCTTTGATGTCTGTTCCTTCATACTGCTGAAACCTCTCATCTATTAGTAGATGAGAAACCTTTCATATATTAGAGGAGGCAGTGGGATGCAGCTGGCAAAGGAGTCAGGGCAGTGGTGCAGCTGCCACCTTTGCTCAGGAAGCCATTGCCCACATTGCTGCCCTGCCTCTTCTGCCAGCTCCATCCCACTGCCTCCTCCCCAGCCAGGCCCAGCAAGCTCCCTTCAGCAGGTGAGGCTCCACCACCCTGCCGCACTCACTGCACACTTCCCAGGGCCGCACCCTTACCCAGCGCCTGGATCCCGGGCCAGCAGCAGGGGGAAGAAGACGGAGAAGGTCAATTGCGGGCGGCAGCAGCAGAGTGCAGAGCAGCCAAAAGGGCAGAGATGTGGGGGGAAGATAGGCAGGTGGGGGGAGTTGAAGTGCACACTGCAGTCATAAATGCAGGCCAGTTGCCAAGTGCCTGAATTTTGATCACAACCATGGGGGCGCTGCAACAACTTACTACCATTTGTTCAGTGCCATCATAACTTTGAACAGTCGCTAAGCAAGGACTACCTGTATTTTAACAATAATTTCCATTCAGTAAGATTAATCAGTTTTTTTTAGAAGCATTTCAATTATACCAAAAATAAAAATGTCCTAATTAAAGTTATCTTCAAGTTATAGAAATGCTTGATAATAGTTTCTAATAATAGTTTCATCTAAGAATTGAAGTGGAGGCAAGTGCACCAGGGCAGCAGAGCCTCATCTGCTAAGCAAAGCTTGCCGGGCCCAGCTGGGGAGGAGGCAGGAGGATGGAGCAGGCAGTTCACACAGGGCAGGAGAAGCATGAGGTCCTCACCTAACTACTGCAGCCAGGACTACCGGAACTGCCATCACTAAGTGGATCAGTCATGCGATGTTTCACCTAACAATCACTTTGCTTAGTGACAGAAAATCCAGTCCCAGTTAGGGTTGTTAAGCAAGGACTATCTGTATCAGGAAAACCAGCAAAAAGATTATTTTAAATTTATTTTTAACATTATAATTTTCAGAGAAGAAACATTCCAATGAAGCCACCAGATGATCTCAAAGTAAGTTGCTTTGCATATATAAACCTCCCCTTCTTGTAGAAAATACTGTTTTTTTACTGTAAATGGTTCTGGAAATATGAAGGAAAGATTTATTTAATTTATATAATAAGTGAAGATGATAGACAGTCACATTTATTTTATTTATTTATTTTTCAAATTTGTATGCCGCCCATCTCCCCCAATGGGTGACTCTGGGCGGCTC